AAGACAGTGTATACACACACACAGATTCTCATTAGAGAAAAAAACATATATATATATATATATATATATATATATATATATATATATATATATATATATATATATATATATATATATATATATATATATATATATATACACACTGCTCAGATGAATCTCAGTTTGGTCTTGTAACAAACAGCACAATAAGCAATCGAACAATTGCTTACTCAGCAGCTCTATTTTAAGCCCTGTGAGGGAACGCAGATGGGTGTCAAATGTATTTTTTTTTTCACTCTCCCATTCGTATGTTGATTTAGAATATCAATTCCCCCCACCGCACAAACATTCACTGCATCATCATCAGTTTTTCTCGGCTTAACGTGATTTTCCTATGAGTGATGCTGTATGTGCTTTCCTCGCCATATGCTGCGCTACCCTCGTAATTTGTGCCATTACAGCGTACCTCCGCTGCTTTATGCTGGTAAAAATCTCGAGCCTCCGTTTCAGTCAGAGTGCGCTCCTCGTGTGCAAGAATCTCAAACCCGGCGTCTTGAATCTATCCAGAAGGAGAAGCATCAACAGAATGGATGAATGCCAGCAGGAGGGCTCGAGAAAATCTTGTCTTCTTGGAGTGTGAACATGGTTAATCTCTCTGTACCTTCATAATGATCTCATTTGCCTTGCCATGAGCAACTGCGTCAGGCTTAATGATGGCAACTGTGTAGGATTTACTGGCAGGAACTATGCGGAAACAGAGAAGAGTTTGAATGGCGGTCATTATTGCTGTTAAGATGCAAAACTGTGCAAAGTTTAAAAAAAAAAAGTCACCAGGAGACTGGAAGCTACAGAGATGAACCGTACAAAACATTGCTTTCACAAAATACCAATTACACTTTCTTCATTTTGTGGCTGCTGAAGCTCTTTCTCCTCTCTCTTCTCTTCAAGACCAAAATCTTTCACCTGAGACAGAAACACAACTTTTAAATATGTTTATGTAAATCACAAAATCATTGCTCATCTGATTCTGCCGTTGCTCATAAATCACAACAAAAAACATTCATTTTGAAACAGCAGGGGGGGGGGGGGGAAGCATGATTTATAGTTTTTTTTTAAAAGCTCTA